GTGCGTTTGAGGTCGCAGCGGTGCGTGTCCGCGAACCAGCCCGGCCCGCTGGAGCACTGGTCGATGGCCACGTCCCGCAGCTCGATGTCCACCCGCACGACGCCCCTGCGCAGAGGGATGGGGTCGGCCCCGGGGGCCGCACACGGCGTCCCTGTGCCCACCGCCTGCCCCCCACCCCGCCTGGGCAGCCGCAGGGGGGGGGCTGGGGCCAGTGTGCGGGCTAGGGGGACAACAGCTGTGTCTGGGGGAGGCTGGAGCTGGGACAGGGACAGGGACAGGGACAGCGGCAGCAGCTCCGGGGGGTGAATTCCACCTCTCAAGAGGGGCTTTAACGCAACCGATTGGCAAATAGGAGCCTCTGCGGTGGCCCCTGTGTGTCACCCCTCGCCCTGCGGGACCGACCCTCTTCCCTGGGTGTTCCGAGGGGGATGGGGCTTCTCCCTTGGAAATGGGGCCATGTCCCCTCCCCAGGACTCAACCCAACTGCCCCCTTCCCTCCCCAGTGCCTCCCACCGTGGCTCCTCACCCGGGGGGTGCCGGCGGTGCGGTAGGGACCCACCAGCCCGGGGATGCCCCCCAGCTCCCAGGAGGGACCCCGTCCCAGCTCACCCACCCCCACGGCAGGGGGGTTTTTGGGGATGGCAGCCCGAGGTGGGCAGCGCGGGGATGACCCAGGGGGGAGTGGGGGCAGCTCCGTGCCTGTGGACGTGCGAATACCCACGCACGCACACTCTCCCCCCACCCACCCACGCACGGGGACGCAGGCAGGGGGCTGGCATACCCCCTGCCCCCTCCTGCCTGCACCCCAGGGTGATGCCTCCAGCTGCACCCCCCAACACGCACATGGGGAACCCCACAGCCCTCTTACACCCCCCCAAGACCCTCCGGGTACCACTTACTTGAACTCCGGGCTGAGGTCCGGCTTGAGCCCGTAGAAGGCAGAGGAGAGCGTGACCGCCCAGGAGGGCAGGAACTTGCCGTCTCGGCACTCGAGGAATGGTGGGGACCACCGCACGTGGCGCGGCTCCCCCACGTAGCTGTCACCCCGCTGCCACTTGGGGGTCTCCATGCTGCGCAGGTCATTGCTGAGCAGGCGCTTGCGGAGGAGGGGGTTCCGCTGGGATTTGAGGGCGTTGAACCACTCGTTGTCCCAGCTGAGGTTGCCGAGACTGGGGGCGGCGGCGGAGACGTCCTGCAGCAGGATCTCCCCGTCCCCCTTGGTGGCCTGCAGCATCAGCCGGGGCTTGGCGGCCAGCGGGTGGGCGTCGAGGGCGAGCACCGCCCGGCGCACCCATGGGTGCCCCTCCGCCAGGCTGCGGACCAGCGCCTGGTACCACTCCACGTCCTCGGCCACGCTGGCGTCGCG